ACCTTTGGACACCCCCGGGAGCTTGCCCCAGGTGCGCAGGGTGTCGATTTGAGAAGTCGCTTTTCTGTAAGGTCCCAGGAACTGTCCAGCAACTGGACCCCTGGGAAAAATATGGAAGGGAGAGCGGTTTCTCACGCTGGCACCTTATAGCTGCATTGAGGGTAAATCGAGAAATAGAAAAATCGCAAATAGAAAGGGTTTTCACAGCACCTGTAACATGGACTTCTTTACTGCTTTGGTACTGCTTGGGTGTTCGCTTCTCGTGCCTGTAAAGGACGTAGCAAGTGCTGTTCAAAGCCAAAGTGGAAAAAACACCTCTATCTTAAGTGAGAAGGAAGATTTCTTCCTTTGTTTTCCTGCCACCAATTAAACCTGTCCAGAGTAAAGGCATGGAAACAAAATAACAAGATGAGACCAATCAGATAAATTATTGCAGGAGTAGCAGAGGATAAATTTAGAGGCCCACCAACTGGAGATTTAAGAGAGCACATTAGAGATTACTGGAAAAGTGCATAATCATTATGGCCTTGATCCAGCAAATCACTTAAGTATATGCTTAACTACAAATATGTGAGAAATTGACTTCAACTGTTCTGTCGCATGCTTAACATTAAGCATATATTTAAGTATTCTTGATAAGGAGCTAATCACACTGTTTACCAAAGGATAGTTAGATCTTTGTGTGCTTTTCTGCAGTGTTGTGGACACTGTGTCCCTGAAAACCCAGCGTCCAGAAAGAAAAGTATTCAAGAGCTGCTAATCAGAAAGGGGGCTGTGTATTAGCATCTGCTTTGGAAATTGTCTTCAAAACATGCAGTAATTAAAAAAAAAAAAAAAGAAAAAACACCAAAATGGAGATTCGATTGGGTATATGACATTTACCATGACATTCTTATATCCAGTAGTTCTGAGACAGAACTACCTGAATGTGAGAATTGCTATGTTTAAGAAATATAGGTGATATTACAGCTCAAAGTTCTCATGAAAATTAAAAACATTAGATGTATGTAGCCAGACGGGTGACGGTTGTATTTTGTTTCTGTGGTAGCAATGTCTAAGCAAAGCACTAGCAGAATCCTGAATCCTCTCCAGGGTCCTGCCAATCTAAATTAGGTCATGGCACCTCATGAATAGCCACCTATGGATTCCCCTGTGCCTACATCAACAAATTCAAGTGTGCTGCGCTGCCTTGTGGCAAGGCCAGTGATGTGTGGGGCCCCAGGGACAGCTTGCTGTGTACCTGCCGTGCCATGGGGTATTCATGCTGCATGGATAGCTGCACAGATAGATGCCGTTCTTTTTCTCTCTAATGTCTCAGAAACCTCTTACGGGTAGATCCAAGTACACTCATTGTCTCTTGGCCATTTAGCTATCCTGGCTGTGCTTTCTGCCTTTCTTTTTCCTGGTTTCACACATGCATGCCCTTAATATTGCTGCAATTAAATCAATAAAAGTACTTTGCATAAAGGAAAAGAAAAAAGGCCTCACTGATGATGCGTGCATTGTATTTGAACCTTTATTTCATTCTTTGAGTCAGTTCTTCCTCATTAGGGAGAGGCTTACCTAACAGCACAGAGTGTTTTTAAGCAGAAGGAATGAAATTTAGATTGTGTTTTGGCTCAAAGACATGAAATGCAAGTTGGAACACGGACTGAGATGTTCATATACCAGTTTGGGATTTAAGTTGTGCTTTTCCATGGTTTCTCAATTCTCTATGTACCTCGATTCCTCATTTGTAAGAGGAAAATCTTGTCCTGTTTTATGGGAGGGAAAGTATGTTTGGATGCTTGGGTGTTACAGTGATGAGAAATTAGAGCTGTGGTAAATAACTGACTTTCTTGAGTCTGACCTAACAAACCCATTCTGTAAATATATTTTGAGACATAGTGAGAGGCTTATCTTTTACCAACTGTGGGGTATAAAGTCTCATCCATTCTGATGATGTTTTTGTGTTTGTTTGTATAGGCACATCCAGAGCAATACACAACCTCCTCAGGCTCCCGTGCCACCTTTAGGATATGTATCTGGAAACATTATTTCAGATTTGGAAACAGATGTTCCAGATGATGATGAGGACGATATTGAAGAGGAAGCTGTAGAAATCACTAGGCCACTAAGAGGTCTAGAGCATACTCCAGGCTCCAGTATGGACAATCTGGACAGCTCTGTGACAGGTAACCAAATGCAGTAAACACCGACACGAGCTTTGTTTGTAACAGTAAAATGCATCATCAGTCAAACACTTTATAAGTGAAAATTTATTCCACTCTATTTCTGTAACATTTAAAATGTGTTAATATTAAACACTGAAGTTAAAGAAGGATTTGAAAATACTTTGCTGCAAAATGATAAGAAAATCCATGAATTTTAAAAAGCTTTAAGACTTGAAAGAAAACTCAATTATGTCCCAGCTTTCATGAAAAGTTCACTCTAGTGGAGAAGCAAGTGAGTTACATAGAAAGGAGGAGGAAGACTTCTGCTTAGGAATATATTTTTCATAAATGAGTAGCATAGAAAGTGTTATCTTAAAACACTTTTAGATGTTTTGCAGGGTAAATGCTTTCACAAACGAACTCATGGAAGTTAAAAGACTTCAGAATAAGTGTAGTTACATCAACGCAACAGTTTTTTTGTAGCATAAATAAAACATTCGTGTAGAAAAATCTGTATTTTGAATGTACTTCATACCGATGATTTTAGTAATTGTTCCCTTTCAGTGGAGATATTTAAATATTCTGTCCCTTTTTCCTTCACTGCTGGTAACCCCTTGCAGGCCTGAAGACTGCAACAGCAATCATCAAAAAGGACTAGAAAAGCATACTGCACAAGTGCAGAGAGTCTGAATTGGTAAATTTGCTGAAAAACAGGCAGTGAAACAACAGTTTTTGTATGGATGTAATGAACTTTTGTAGGTATAAGCACATTTTACTTTAGCTTGAACTCGGACCTCTGTTTTGTAGTAGATATTCATAAGTTACAACTTTATTAGAGACCCAGATGTAGTTGGTATCTGCAGCTCCTAAGAGCTGATGTGAGCTCCTTCAGTCTTTGATCCCTAGGGAAGAGCACTGGCTGTTACTTGTTCTGGAAGGGAGGCCTGCTCCATGCGACTCCCTACTGCAGCACAGCTTATTTTCATCTCATCATTCTGATCTTGGAAATTGTGAAGAAAAATGCACCATTATTTAAACATTGCTGTCCTGAAAACACTGCAGGATGATGACAGTGATGGAGCATCAATACCTATAATTTTCTTCCTTTTCTCTTGTTGAATTAAATAGTGTGTTGCTTTATCCCACTTTCCAGGTTTTCTTGCCCCCTAGGGCTAGACTGCTTGCCAATCTAATTAAGATTTAAGAACTGTAGCTCTACTGCTGTGATTTGAAATCCAGATCCAACCAAAAGCTGTAGAGTTAAAGTTTAAATCCCTGAATTCAGAAGGTTAACTTATTAGTGCATGAGTATGTTAAGTCACTTTCCTTGAATTTCCAGTGTAATCTCCTTAAGGCTATAATTCTGCATATTTTTGCATATCTCACTAATGGCTCAAAAGCCTTCCCATTAGGCATGCAGTAAAGGTTTTGCACGGGTAACACAGGAATAAATAAAGAAATCAGGTTGATATATATTTTTCCTTTGGTATGTATTAATATGTCAATGTTGATKTATCTATAAATCAGAAAATGGCTGTTTTGCACATTTACATTTTCACCTAAATTGTGCACCAGCCTGTCTATGCAAACTAAGGCATAGCTGTGCTTGTGCTCCAATTTATAGCCTTTGTGCTCGTTGAAATTTATCCTTTTATGAAGCATGCTTTCCTAGTTAGTTAAAAAGTGTTGTTTATTTCTTGGAATGTTAAAAACCCGTTGGCATATTTTCCAGAAGTTGGGCAGAACCTGGCAGTGTAGACAGCGTTGGTACTTAGGGTCATCATTCCCGTTCATACTCACCACCATCTGGGGCTTTTCTTATCCAGCTGTTTTCCTTGTGCTGTTGCTTGTTTCATCACTGCCTGGGTCGGGTGCTTGGTCTCCTTCACTGCATGGCCACGTGTGGACTGGCGCTGCAGGAGGGGAACATGCAGCTGCATGGGAGGGAAAGGGACAGGCTGCCCCTGTAGCCTACACCTCAATTTGCCCACAACGATTAAGAAACTGTAGCCTTGCCAAAAAGGCTGTGTGCTACAGCCTGTGTGCTAGTCTAAACAACCTATAAAATCACGTCTCCAAATACTCAAACCACTTGTATTTTCCTTAGTATATGGGCAAAGCTTCAATTTTCTGAGTTAGGTTGTTTTTTATAAGGAGTTGGGAGGAGATTGTTTGTTATAGTGTGGGAATAGTTTCAAAAGAAAATTCTAGTATTTTCTGTATGTTTTTCGTTAAACTTGCAGGTTGCATTTTTAATATTCAGGAGGGTATATAATATATGGTATCTACTGTTTCTAAACTGTTTCTCATTCTTTAATTTGTTTTCCTTTAGGATGCCATTGTTTTCCACATTTCTAACTCACTCACTGGTTCTTGCCACTGCAAAAATTTAAGCTACTTCCTTTTGTCGGGCTTTGGATGGCTTGAATCACCATTTTCCTAGAAATTCATGTTTTATATGTTCAGGTCTTTAAAYATATAAAAGTGAGGCAAAACAAACGAGCTGCCCTGGAGGAAGCAGTGTTTCCTTTCATTTTTAAGTGCGTTCTGTGAGCTCAGTGTTTGAGAGAAGATTGAATGGCCCTTGCTAGATGCAGGCTTCCCCAGAGCACCWGGGCTGTAACGTGAGCGGAAGAGTTTCCTCGCTGGCTGCGATGCCCCAGCGAAGGCTCCAAGACACCCATCCTAGGAGTGAGGTGGGACTTTGTCCTTCGTGGCTGAGCTGTGGCTGAGGGCTTCATCTCCTGCCAAATATAAGGTTCTCCTTGGGGAAACACGAGCTCTGCGTGAACTGAACTCAGACTGCTCAATTCCTCTGAAACCCCAAGTGTTGCTCCTGTAAACTGTTTAAAACCAGGTTGTCTTCCAGGCCCTTGTGTTTTAGTTACGCCTAACTGGGGATTCAGACAGGGATTTAATGTGTGCTTTTAAGCTTTTCTTTTTGCAGGTGGCAGAAACATAACGTCGACATGTATAATAAAGTGAAAAGAAAGGAAGCACTCACACTAACTATATGATAATGTTTTTCCAGATATTGCAAAGGAAAATCAAGGAGGGAGATGTAGATTGGAACATGTTATGGATACTAAGTTGTTGATTCTGATTAACAGACAAAAAAAAAAAAAAAAAAGAGAGGAAAGCATCTCTAGCACTTCTTGACTTCTAATTAACAATCATTTAGATTTCTTTTTGCTTTCACAGACACACTGAAATAGGGCTTTTCTTTTGCTTGTGTTTAATGCTTGCATTTGTCTTGAATTGCTGTGCAGAGTGATGGCTTAAATGGTCATGGAGAGTCTGTTACAGTATTCTACATTAATAGACTTAATTAATTGCATAAGATGACTGTATAGGAAATTGACTTTCTTGTCACTGGAAAGACCTCTTGGTTTTGTGAGACCAAATTATTATTGCTGGGAATTTCTTTGCCCTGTCCTTGTCCTTCCATCCCAGAGCTTTGCAGCTCCAGCAGTAAAACTGGTAGTGGGAGCTCCTGTATCTTCAGTCCTGGTGCACTGGTGCTGAGAGAAGAGATACACCCACTAACTTGCAGGGAAATTATAACAAGCCCTTCTTCTGCCTAATAAACCAGCAGAAGATGGGAGTTATTCTTATAAACAATACTCCTGCATATGGAAACCAAAACTGATTTTTATAAATCATATAGAGCTGATATTATTAAGATTTCCATAGGATGGATCAGAGGATTACCTCCCTGATCTGACATTTTTGGGACTTAGTTTAAAAAAAAATCACTCCAATCACTGCCTGTATAGTAAAAAAGTTGTTCATTCATTGTGATTGGGACCAAATGGAATAATTTTTGAATATTACACAGAGTCATTTTCATGAGCCATATTTTAGCAAGGCAGAGTTCACTATTTGTATTGATTTGCTTAGGGATACCTATTGCAAAAGGTTCTATTTTATAAGCAGTTAGACAAATTACATTCAATAGGAAGAATATGTTTCATCGATTAAATATGTGCTCTGAAAATAGGAAACTACTAGTTTTTGTATCTCATAAAAATGGTAATGTAACAATTAGCAGGGTCATATTATAAAGCACAGACTTTAGCTTAATGGATCTAGGGATATGCATTCATCAGCAAGGATGGATTTAGCATAAAATGACATGTAAATGAATTGATGACTGATCATAAATTAATTTTAGTGCTGAAGATGTAATAGAGACACAGCAAGATGCCACTTTATCATAGTATTTTACTGCTCAGCAACATTTGAGCAACTACTTAATGTTCAGTGTGCATTTCTTCTCTAACAGCTTGAATAAATTTCAGAAATTTTTGTTCCTTTCAGCAATATGGAAACCAAAAAATCTAGAAAGATTGAAAATGCAAGCACAAATAAATTTGGCTAAGTGGCATAAATTCATTTTTCATTAAATGTTTATGAAGACATTAATTATGGTTGAGCCTATGAAGTGCCAAGTATGTATGTATGTTTTGCCTTATTTTATGGAGGATTTCCTGCCCCCAAATAGCAATTTYTAAACATTTATTTCAGGTATACTCATATATTGCAGCATTTGCAGCATGGTGGTACTATAAAGTGAAAGTCTAAGTATAATTTATGAAGTGCTATCATGTCCGTAGTCTTCATGCAACGCCTTCCATTACTCGTTTTTATTCTAATGATACAATAGCTGTTGCCCCTTTCTCTTTCATCACTTCCCCTGAAGCTTGTGCTCATTATTTCTTTAGAGTCATGTCAATAGTCAGATACACCCAAAAGAGCTTAAAGTTTGTCCCTTGTAAAAACACCAGGAGAATTATGCAAATACTTTCAGCTGAAATATCCTCAGTATCAAAGAACTTTATCCATGCTTCAGAAATCTGGATGTTCTAGCTCCTGTTCATCAAAAATCTGAGTAGGGATTTAATATTAACATGGATATAATGGTCTTGTGATGGAAAACATGTAGTTGTAAACACACACTGACATAAGTAGTTAAATTTACACATGGACATTGAGTTGCAAACAGAAAAGTACCTGATGGA